ATTCCACTTCACCAACCAAATGTAACTCATGCAATCTTTGATTAAATTTGTTGTATCCCAATTTTGGGGCTTCACGAACATCGTGAACTTTAAGTCATTAAACAAAGGCCTCATTAAAAGTGTTCGTTAATGTACTATTGTTTAATGGAGGTACAATGTAAGTTTCCCGACTAAATGACTCAACGGCAACTGCTACTCAGTTCTCTAGCGATTCGTGTAACACTTTACTGCCTCTAGTAAACTATAAAAAATCAGTTCACGCCACAGAAAAATTGTCTTTATCTTTATTTCTAAGTGGATTTGTTGGATTTTCGTACCACCTACAGCACTCAAGTGATTTTGGATTAAAACTTTGGTTAAATTGTTATCATGGGCTTCAGATGCGCGTCATTCTACAGAAATAATGAGTTCGCCTCGGGAGAAATAGATTCGTTGCATCCAGTATAAACGACAAATGAGCGAAAGTTGACTAAGCTAATCAACAGATTCGAGGTTGGACGAGAAATATATTAATGGGTAGTGGTAAGTGACAGTGGATTCGTCCTAAAGTCCAAAACGGACGATTCTGGCAAGAAATCATTTGATGTCTTAGTACTTAATGCGCTGAAAAGTGTCAGTGAACCTGCGGTATCGGTAATATTGAGTTGCTTGTTCACTTCAATAAACCATGTATTGGTGATCACCTACCTGTTTTGGTTGGTCCCGCTCGTGTTGGCTTGATTTGCTGTTGTCTGGTATTTTATGGATGTAATCAAACAATGGAAAGTTACATTTGACATAGTAAACCCACTTATTATTGACAGTGCAATATTTCTTTAGACATTCTGTGTTATTTATGTAGAATCAAGGTCTAATTCGTTATTAGTACCGCTCTAATAATAGACTTAATCCTGAAATTGTAGATTCGTCATGATGTAACTGCCTAATCTACAAGATCTTACATGTAAGTCACATTAACTTGTAGCGTGGCGTCGAGTGGAGATTGACTATGAACACCGCTACCAAGAAGCTCGTTACAAATGACTCCATAAAATCCCCGAGAAACCAAATATCAGAAGGCAATTAATGGACCAAGTCGATGTTTATTTGCTGGCGATCTCGTGGCATCAAAGGGATACCGAGATCGAGTTAGGATACAAGCTTGGTTACAGAACGTAACCGAATTCGCGCCAAGTTACAATCGAAGTGTGTGAATAAGAATTGAAGCACAATATAGCTGTCGTTAGCACAGTCAAACAAAAGCACATTAAAACAAACACTGGTACAATTGGTTATAATAATTGTCTTCAATAAACCAATCGTGTTCTCGTGATAAATGTGAGTCACTACAGGAGCCCCCCGCTAGAAAGGGTTTACACTTTCGATAAATAGTGGTTTAAATCGTGGGACTGATCAGCTGACGAGCTGTTGTAAGACGAACGAATTGGCGAACAGAAAAGCGATCGTTGATCGTCGAGTTGCCAACGAAGGTATCAGGAGCGATGTGCTGTACTTGTTGCTTGAGTTGGCATACCACACGAGTGGTTTGTATCCAGCATCTGAAGATGGCGTTCGTAGGGAATGCGGACCAGAAACGCTTCAGACGTAGGACGAAACCACATTGAGCCAAAAGACCAGAAGCGACCGCAACGCCCAAGTTCGAGACCAAGCGTATGCCAAGCATTCAAACCAATATATCGACTGAGTGCGTTGACAAGAGCGTGGGTGGTCAGTCCAGCTTTCGCCAAAGTTGACTGAAGTCGACGGAACCAAATGAAGATGGTCGAAGGCGTGGGCTCAGGAAGCAAAAAGAAAATCAAAAAGGAGAAAAGTGTAGCATGCGTGTAGTATAGGAATAATCCTACACCGTATCGGTTGTTCACTGTGCGATTAGTCGCGGAAGCGTACGGGCTACCGTACTCGGCGACCGGAACGTGAGACGGTAGTCTCGTTCGTATTTCGTGAGCTTGCAATCTCATCCGAGGTCAGAGGCGGCGTGGTCTGCTGATCTGGACGTGAGACTGTCGTCTCGTCCGTAGATAGTGCAGATGACGCATGCTGTTGACTGAAACGTGAGAATGAGGTTTTGGATGTATCTAGCGTGGGATCTGAAGAAGATTTAAGGATCCCGATAGGTTTGATAGGTCTAGCATTGAATCTCAGGGAATCAGATAGGGCACTGTCATCGACGTGTGCTGATTTGAGACGATCAATGCTGACGATCTCGGCGCGTCCATATCGATCAACCTTGAAGGTCTTTTCGTGACGAGCGATCACGTGAAAAGAGCCTTCTTAAGGTCGTTGCCAAGGTTTGCGTACCGAATCTACTCGTATGAAAACACGTGTACAGGTAGATAACTCTCGAAGGAGAGCGACCTGTCGATGTTGTATTCGAGTTGACACCGGAGACAGTGTTTGCATAAATGCAGACAGTCGATGGACGTAGTCTGATTCACTGAAATTAGGTCTGCTCCGTGGTGTGAAGAATTCTCCGGGCAGACGCAATGTCGTGCCGTATACAAGTTCAGCAGCGGAACATTGGATATTTGCCTTTAAGCTCGTTCTCACCCCTAAAAGAACGAGCGATAAGATTTCGTGCCAGTTGCCGTTGTCGTGTGCTCGTAGAGCACTTTCACGTTGGCAGTGAAACCGTTCACTTAACCATTTGGTGCTGGGTGGTAGACGGATATGCTTATGCGTATGCATTCCGTACGAAACAGCCGGGTCAGCGAGGAGAATCGTTAATAGGGTAAAATCTCTCGAATAAAGCGTGGGATTTACCGTCAAGCGAATAAAAAGTGACAAGGATTCGGTACAATTATGTGAGAGTCTATTATAATAATACTATTCTTATCGTTATCCGTCATGTCGCGTATATTCTATGTTAAAAGATAATATGAAAATACACGACAGACGTGGATAGATAAACAACAGACTCACCAAATTGGCTTCTTTGGAAGGTTTGACCAAGGGTTGTGGCGTGTTCCGGAATTCGTTTCAGCAGTTGTCGCGTGTTCCAAACTTTGGGATCACCAATTGTAGCGTGGCATCGAGTCGAGATTGACTATGAACACCGCAACCAAAAAACACGTGCCAAGAAAATCAGAAGGTTGAACGTAACCAGATTTATTCGTTTGGCGATCTCGTGGTATCGAATAAATACCGAGATCGTGCCAAGAACGGTACAAGCAAATGCAGGAGTACAGAGTACGTGCGAACAGTAGCAAAAACCGCGAAACAATAATGGAATGTAATGGAAGCACAAAATGGCTATAATTAGCACAGTTAAACAAAAGCACATTGAAGCAAACACTGGTACAATTGGTTATAATAATAATTGTCTTCAATAATCCGATCGTGTTCTCGTGATAAATGTGAGTCACTACAAACTAAACCAACTCATCACATCGTAACAATCATCAGTATATGATGAAGAACATACTTAGGCTAGAGATAGAACAATATATTTCATATGAATAAAGGGTATATGACAACACTCAAGAATGACCACGCCTGCAAGGCCGAGCCATGCCTCCCGATGAATTTGAATTAATTCAATTCATTGTTCCCGCCTTCTCCACCGTTGGGTTTTTCTTCGCGTTAAATACCGAGTATCCATTTCTCCAGTTGTCTCGTGTTTAGCTTTGAGGATTTTGTCGTTAAGGCCCAATACCATTACGGAGTGTCTTTCAAGGTTATCAAAATCCATGATTTCAGCAACGCGAAATCCAATGGTTAAACATTAACCGTAATAAGTGACGGCGCAACAAGTAGATGGGATGCATCAGTAAGTACTGGTGTCCAAGTTTGAAACCAGGAGTATGATACCACGAGCTAAAACACTTTAAGTCTTTGTGTTTTTAAAAAACCATCCAATAAGCATTTGCTATGACTGCGCTAGCTTCAGATAACCGGACAGGACCAAAAGAGATTCTTTCCATAGTAATTTTTTCCATGCGTTATTCACTTGAGATATACTTCCCACTAAGCCACCTAGTAATCCAATGCAACGAGGTCAAATGTCCGGTTTCCGTTGAGGGAAGTAAGGAATATAATGTCCAAAAAGAATAAGGAAGCAGATAATGGGACTTTCGTTCTATCATTTTTATTCTCACACCGTGGCTATGCATTCCAAGTGTTAATAAATGAGGGTATTAAAAACAAATGTAAACTTACCTCATTAAACTGGTCAGATTATGTGTCATTGTTTCTAGTGGAGTACTTGTTTACTGGGCATTTTAGCAGATAGAATGTGGATTTAGACAGTAAGCAACTGAAAAACCTAAATTTTCTCCAGACAAAGATGTTTTTAACAATAAATTATTAAGAATAAATGGGGTAGTTACATGGTATCACAGATGTACTGGCTTACATTTTCCAAAAGCAAAAGTCAACTTATACTTTCTGGATCTGAAAACGGTTAAAATGTTCCTCAAGTCTCTAAATATCCTTTGAATTATATGCTTTCTTCCATGTCCATACATCGTAAACAAAAGTGATTGCTTCTGAATATACTCGTTTATTCCAATTCGGATAAACAATTGACCTCATACTCGAGGCCATGGGACCTACCTCCGTGGCTCACTAGCAGTAATAATTTTTGGGCTTTACTCACTCAGAACAGTTAGTGTACGAAAAGGGAAAGTCACTTATCTGGTAGCAAGATCTTATATAGGTGGTCTGCATAATAATAACTAATTGACTATATAAGTTGCTTAGGTTTGAATGCGTGGGATTAATGATTACTTAATGATAACTTGTCCATCCAAGTTGAAACAATTTTGAAACTAAATTCTACAAACGAATCGTATTAAGATCAGTCATTCGCAATTTCCCAGTATCGATGAAGTGTTTTCAAATTTCGCGCTTCACCATCTATAAAAAAACTTAGTAATCCTGTTGTTAAAATCAGCCCAAATAGTTTTTTTTGATCATCGTTTTAGGTTTCAACCATTCATTCCTTTTTTCTTTCTTATCCGACACACAAATTACGCCATAAAGACCGTTGCTTCTAAGTGACTGATTATGAATGGCGGCAGCTCCACAATTGGGTTTGCATAATAGGACGTTTGTGTATTTCTTTCTGTCTCTGTTACTAGTCCTCTTTCTTCACTGCAAGAAGCAATATCATAAAACTTTCCGGTCTTACTGTGATTAATTTGGGGTACTCATCTTTATTACGTCCTTTACACTCACAGTGCTAATTCTACCAAATGAATACAGCTTATGGCAGGAATAGGACAGTAAGATCTTGACTACACCCTTAACTTCGAATTTTAAAATATTTAGGCGTTTCACTTCTGCTGACCACTCTGTTCCGTGGAACACTCAAACTCAGTATGTTGCATATTTCTTCACTTATGTTTCATGCAGATATAATATGGGGAGGGCTATGGTACATGATTACAATAAACCTGTCGCCACTTACGGCAGCAATTTCACAAAAAGGGTAAGCTTCATAAATGACTTTTATCATATGTGTTCGGATTTACATCCGTTTTCAGTGTTCTTATTGACATTTGTTCTCTTCTCATCCTTTTTTTCTTGACATTTAGTTATCTAGGTAAATTATGGTGTTAGTTAGGTACCTAATCGGTTTATTGGAATCCCTACTAAGTTTTTCCTCCCATACTTTCCTCATAACCGTCTTCATTACTTTAAAGAACGATCACAAGTTCACTGTGCTTCCATACTAATTTTGCAAACTTTGTTTCCAAGCAAACAGCTTTATTCTCTCTCCAGTTCCTTAATAACATTTTTTTAAGTCCTCCGCACATAGTGTCTTGATCAGATAGCACCTAGTGTAAAGTTCTTTGGTTATTTCTATTATATACCTTGATTATAATCGGATAGTCTACAGCTCAACACAATATCCATTTACTGATTCATCGTGGTTGACTCTGTCTTCATTTCGTTACTAGTACTTTGTTCAAAAAATTTCTTACTAGTAAGAATAATACTGTTGATTTCGGGACATAGGGTGATGAATAATGATTCTTGATGATTGTTGGTATGTAGATGTTTAGTTTCTAGGAAGCTGTCGATGTATAATCTGGAAATTCGACCAGCGTATCACAAATCTGCGGTCTAAAGTTAGACACCTTACCGTTCTTTAGGAGGCTTTTTGTAACTTGAAGATTTGGATGGCAAACATCACTAACGCAATATATATTGATTATCAAATAGTTGTATATACTTCGTTTCCTACTGATAATTAGATGAATAAGGTTGTTATATGTTTGAGGGGTTATGGCAACTTATCTCCTAAGCCCACTACTACACTGTTATTCAGCGATACAAGTTAACACTTAAATGTTTTGCGCATGCTTTTTGGACTTGTTACGTTACAGTGTGACGCCCCCGAATCGGTTGTGCATCTAATGGAATCATAACTCTGGCCGCGATTCCATATATTAACTTCAATAAGATTTTTAGCTTCACTAGTAACTATTAACACGTAATCACTGTTAGATGCAATTAGACCTAACCCTAATTCATTCAGCGAAGGTCACTTGTTTCAAATGACAATTTAATCAACTTATTTTGCTTCAGTTCGGAAGCTTGTCGTCTTTCCTTGTTTATAGCTTTACAAGTGAGCTTCATTGGTTACTTAATGGTTCCGCCGCACTAGTCATAGAAGTTAGTGAGAAACTCATTTTACTGCCATAAATGATCTGACTTAACACATACAAAACAAACTTGTGTTTAGCTTCTCAGCTAATGATTAATCAAGGTCTTTTTAACCGCCCATAATATATCTATGCATACATCTTTTCTTGTTTATGAAACATTGTGCACCATCTGTCGCCACTTTTGCGATATAAAAGCGGCACGAATATGCACTTTTAAGTTTTCTTTAGGCCCGATCCATTTTTAATGTAGTGTTAAAAGATCATGATTTAGGTTGATGGGTATGTAGAATACTTGTAGCTTAGATTAATTTTGAAACCATTCCATGTCATTTTTTTGTTTTTATTTTGTTTGGACTAGCCTCTGTTTAGTGCTGGTAATTCGGTGAATACTGGGGCACCCAGTTTCAGTGATATTGCAACGCTTTCAACGAGTGGTTATAATTCTAGACCTGGGTCTTCTCAGCGTAATGGTGAGCTTATCAGTTCTATACCCAATGCATTCTCTGGAAGAACAACATATCCTACTGCACTAGATTCTAGTCTGGAAAATGGTCCTTCATATTTCAATGCATTGAATTATAATAATAGTCAGACTGGTCCTGCAAGAAATTTCTCTGAACCTTCTCTTTTCTCTTCGTTATCCACCATCAATCGGACAGCTGGGAATGACTTAACAAACAACAGAATTGGACCCGGAAGTATTACCCCGTCAGTTCCTATAAACACTGCTATGGCCCTGGCATCTCGTAACCCTGGAAATCTTTACTCAAACTCAATCGGAAATGAAAATACTTCTTCGAATTCCACAAACCTTTCTTTATCTTCTTCTTCACGTGGTGTTACTTTAGATCCTTCAGATTTCCCTCCAATTTTAACATCTACTGGGCGGAGTGGGAATTCTTCCACACCCTTTCATTCCTCCTCAAACCAGCCCCCCTTGCGGAACTATGTTTCCATTATGTCAAAAGGGTCTTCAACCATAGATCAGAGTTTGAATCAATTAAATCAACAATTTAGTCATTCTTCAAATAACCAGGCAGCTCCTCTGGAATTTTCTAAGCAGGATTTCCCCGCTTTACCTGGTTCGCACCAACCTACCACTAGCACTACTACGACAGTGTCGACGACGAGTGCCTTAACTGTCAATTCAACATCTGCTCATCGTTCCTTGTCGGCTAGTTCCATAACCCAAACTCCTGCTTCTACAAACTCTAGACGATTGTTTAGCCATACGTCCAACCACGTTTTAGGACCATCATCAGTCCGCAATCAGCCGGGATATTCAAATGTTCCTTCTAAATCTGTCGGCTCCTCAAACGGTATACAGTTACTTCCCAATCATTTAGTCACAAATATTCCTAAAAATATGATTTGTGATCAGTTCGGAATGTTAGGTTTATTGAAGCTGATTCGCGTTGGTGATTATGATGCTACGTTGAATATGCTAGCTCCTGGATTAGATTTATCCTCATTACACAGTAATTGGCAGACACCTGGGTAAGTTTGAACGTCCTTATTTGTTTATTTACTTGAACACAAATATTGGCACAAAGAGGCACCAAATACATATGTGCCACACAAGTCACTTGGTCTGTGTGTGGGCTGTGATACTGCCCGGGTGCCCAGACTGAAGCAATTGGTTTTCTTAGGGGGTCACACCCAGAGCATTCTATCTAAAGGTCTGATTCACACGGCAATGGAGCAACGTCAGGAGATGCAGTCCCATGGCAGCCGATGACCAATAATTGGTTCATACTCCATTTGTTCCATCAGGATCCTGAAGCCGATGTGCACCATTGGTTTGAAGTGAGGGTTTTCCAACTTCCCTAGGTGGATCTTCCATGTCCACCAACCCGATTAAACACCGGACGTTCGCTTTTCGTTCTCTCAATTTCGTAAACAAAACCCCTGGTAGGAGAAGGCAGTGAGTAGGACTTCCCTGGCAGTGGTTGTATACGCGTGGACATGTGAGATAATTTCGAGAGGGCGTACAGGCCATTTGGGGGCTATTAGTTGAATAATTCTTTTCAAAAGGAATCTTATATGATGTTTGTCAACATGTAGTTTACTCACTCTTTCTCAAGAATTGTCAAAAATGTAGGAAGATCTATAGGGATAGTTTTTTCAATTTTTTTCGGTTTTATCACAAGAACTATCAGTGTATATCACTTATTAAGAGTACTCTTTCTGTGTTTATGCATTACTACATGGTGCTTGTACACCATCACCTAGGTTATATTTATTTTTTCTGATCTAAGTGATTGCTCGTATTTAACGTTGATTTTCTTTAGTAGGTCCGGAATTAAACTAATCTCGGGATTTCTTCCGTACTTCGTCTTCTAGTCTACTTCAGTCAGTTGTTTTCATTCTACACTGTTAATACACAATTTCACCTAACACGATATACCTAGAAATACGGCTGAGGATAGGTAAAGTTCGAAATGCTCTCACACGACTACCCATTTGCAGTCAATGCCTTCTCGTGGCGGGGGTGTTATCTGTGAAATTGAAAGAACGAAAAGTGAATGTCCGGTGCTTTAACTGGGTTGGCGGATGCGGAGGATCCACCTAAGGGAGTTGGAAAACCCTCACTCCAAACCAATTGTGCACATCGGCTCCAGGATCCTGAGGGAACAAATGGAGTATGAACCAATTGTGTGGCGCATATATATCTTGTGCCCCTCTTTTACCAATATTTATGTGTTCAAATAAATAAATAAATCGTTGATCACCGGCTACCATGGGACTGCATCTCCTTACGTCGCTCCATTGCCGTGTGAATCAGACCTTTATGTAGACTGTTCTGGGTGTGGCCCTCTAAGTAAACCACTTGCTTCAGTCTGGGCACCCGGGAAGTATCACAGCCCACACACAGACCAAGTGACTTGTGTGGCACATATGTATTTGGTGCCTCTTTGCACCAATATTTGTTTTCAAGTAAAGAAATAAATAATAATTTAGGAATGGATGATCTTATGAAATTAATATTCATGAGCTTCATTAATGGGATAAAATTAATTAATGGATAACTTCTCGTCATTAAATATAAATTTTGTTAATTAAGAGTTAGGCATAGATTTATGTTGATTGTTTCCCCAGCTAAAGAGCAAACGTAACTTTATCACTCCTTATTTACTAACCAAATAACTGAATATCTTTCATGGTCCATGTCTACATTTAGCGGTCTATCAGGATGACATCTCTTGTTTACATTACTCTTATCTAATCCTTCGGACCTGGTTTGTTACCGTTCACGGAATGTTTTCACCTTCTCATCCAACAGATGTTCATTAGGTCATTGAATAATTTCTTTATTTGCCTGAGAATATTGTTTTCTTGTTCTAATAATCCATAATATTGCTGAAAATACATTGGGATTCGGATATTGTCAATGTTGTGTCATCAATTTATATGCTTAACATTAGATTGTGGTACAAAATAGCACTTTTCTGTCTCATATCATTTGGTCTACAAAGCATCTAGGTAATGAGTATTAATAAGCTTCCATTCATTATCAAACTTTTGTTCGCTATCAGCTTATTACTGTTAGTTTAACTCATTTTATAGTACTTGTTTATGTATTTAATGATTTTATCTCAAGTTAAATAGGTTAGCTGAAAAGCCTTCACGAAGATACTAGACATCATTCTAGTTCTTGTTACAGAAATTTATTGTAAATGTACAAAATATGATCCAATCTGCTTCTATTTCGTAAATTTAATAGTTTTTTTCGTCGTTGATGTATAGTTGAACGTTCTTTGGTGTAATCGAATCGGATTTAGGTACTTAAATAGCAAACATCGGTCTTAAGGGCGACTGAAGGGATGTTTTGCGGTATATCGACGTTGGATGTAAAAGCCCATGTAGTTTGAGTAGTGTTTTTAATTGTTTTGTTCCTCAAAACTATAGTGTTGGTAGTTCCTAGTATTTCAGACATTCATTAAGAATACCATATATTATTATTATTATTGGCTTTATTCAATATTATATTTTTGGTACAATATAGAATTCTCAGCACAAAGTATTTCAACAAACTTCCTTTTCTTATTTCTTGAACGACCCTTGCGGTAAATATTGAGTGGTCGCCAGTTAGATGTTGGCACTTCAGCAATCGACACAGAATAATGTACATTCTTTTCGATGCATATTGCTAGCAACCACGACGTCTCTGATTAGACTCTTATGTAACTTGTACAGCGAAATGCCGTAAACTTGTCACAAGCACTCCTGAATAGGTTATGCAACTAATGGGCATAATAATGTATTAAAACAAACAAGAAAACAGATAACTTTTTGAAATATCCAGATGGCAGGAACAGGTAGCCCAGATATTCAAACAGGCCGCCTGAAATTTAACTAAGTATCAAATTATCATTTGGAAGTGTTCATATCTATTGTTCAGTTTAATTGGGTTCTTTACTGCTCTAATCTATGTAGATGAGTTCCAACAGATGTTTTCCTCTGAAGTTCCACATTGAGTCATGTTAATAGGTGTAGACTACTTGGTTGGTATGTGGTTATTGTAACCAATGTTTAGAAAATTTCTGGTGTCATGGCTTAGAATCGTTCTCAGTGGCGAGGTGCATTCACTCTTTCTTTTTTTTAGAATCTGGTCCCCCATATCTCAATTCTTCTTATTTCCTCTTCCCACATCTAGTCTTTCCTGTTACTACTTCTACTACTGTGGGATTTGTCTTGAAATAATTTTATCTCGCTTCAGTAATTTGGGATGACAAGTTGAAACTATGCTCACGTGTTAGGTTTTACGTTGCGTATGACTGACTGACTGAGTATTTCCTAGAAAAACTTCACAGTAGAAGTTCCGGGGAATAAACTGGTATTCATCAATCCAACTAATTTAGAAAGTACACATTACAGTCTTATGAGGCAAGAACAGCTCAGTAGCTACTTTTAGTGATAGGGTTATGGCTCAATACTTTGAACATGTGACTCAATTATATTGAGTTATGAATTGTAAAACACTTCACCTATTTTTAATTTTCTTTCTTCTAGTGAACTTCATACCACCTTTGTTTCACCTCTTCAAGATTCTTGTTTTGGCCGTCCACAAGATATGGATTATCCTGTTCCACCGGAATATCTTATACGACATTTAGTTACAGATCGTCTACCTGATCCACCTATGAATCAATTGTCAGAAGAGACATTGTTCTGGTTATTCTATAATTGTTGTCGAGAAGAAGCACAGTTGGTTGTAGCGAAAGAACTGTAGGTTATGTTTATTACTGTTTTTGTTTAATTAGAATTCAGAAATTGTAAATTCAATATATATTTTTTTATTTTAATAATTCCGTAATTTTTCTTAGTTCAAGTATTTATTTGCACTACAAAGTGTGTTAATTCGTCCATGGAAAGTAACCGGTCTTTAACTTAAAGCATTAATTGCAATCTGTCATTCATGTAACAATTTACCTGTTTTTACAATGGGGCGTTGACTTAGTGGTCAGGGCGTCCAGTTTTCGGTTATCAAGTCTCCATTTCGAACACCGCCCCACCTATTGCGGTTCGGGCAATCAGTTAGTCCCGTTAGCCCTCCCATTTATGATGTGGCTTCTACGCATATATCTGCTGAATGAGTTACTTATAAATTATGTATTATCACAAAAGCATTGAGACATTTTTTAAAAATCAATTCAAAGCAATCGTTGGACAGAATGTGCTGTTGAAATATGGCTCTATATTTTTTTTATTTATTAGCATTTGTCAGAAACATGTATTATCTGTAACAACAACAGAACGGCAGCATTCAAGTCCAATTTCATTAAAATTAAATTTTTAGAAAAATATGTCATTTTAGTTGGTTTGTATTAAATGTTATCGGTCAGAATCACTTTTTTTTCTCTATCTGTTAGTAATATTCTTATATTTAAAAATGTCTTGCGGGAAATGTTTACAATTTAAACAAAATAACAAACATATTTGTCGTTTTCTAATTTTTTGTTCCTGTCGAATAAAATTTATTATACAAATTGGCATTCTATGCTCGCACGTATATATATATATATATATATATATATATATATATATATATATATATATATATATATATATATATGAATCAATTTAATCTCTTTTCAATACATCCTGTTTATAATTAAAACTTTAATTGTGAACTTGGAACTTATAAATTATTATTATTATTATTATTTTTTAATAGTCTCTCAGCACTTAACATAAATAAGAATGTCAGTAATAGCATTGAAAAGAGACAACAAACCAATAACATTAAAGTGTCCTTTAAAATGGGAACTATAATCTAAAGATAAAAATGTGCGCTTTTAGCTCGAAAACAAGAAATTCAAATTTCTAAAATTAAACATTTACCAAGTGATGTCTGGGAATTTAGCATCCCCAACAGCTGAGATTTTACTTCTTCATGTTCTATCAGTTATTATTTACAGAATCTATGAATACTAACTATACTTGTATGTGATAACTAGTTATTCAGTAAATAGTTGATTTCTAAAGTCATTGGTGATTTTCATCTGTACATCTGAATTCCACTTTCTCCTGGTGATCGACTGGATTATGAAGACGTCAACATCTGAAGGGAAGCACGGGATAAAATGGACATCTAGGATGCAGTTGGACGATCTGGACTTCGCAGATGATCTGGCCCTTCTATCCCAAACGCAACAACAAATGCAGGAGAAGACGAACAGTGTAGCAGCAACCTCAGCAGCAGTAGGTCTCAATATACACAAAGGGAAGAGCAAGGTTCTCCGATACAACACAGCATGCACCGATCCAATCACAATTGACGGAGAAGATTTGGAAGATGTAAAAACCTTTACATATTTGGGCAGCATCATTGATGAACAGGGTGGATCTGACACAGATGTGAAGGCGCGGATCGGCAAAGCAAGAGCAGCATATTTACAACTAAGGAACATCTGGAACTCAAAGCAACTGTCAACCAACACCAAGGTCAGAATTTTCAATATAAATGTCAAGACAGTTCTACTGTATGGGGCGGAAACCTGGAGAACTACGAAAGCCATCATCCAGAAGATACAAGTGTTTATTAACAGTTGTCTACGCAAAATACTTCAGATCCGTTGGCCGGATACTATTAGCAACAACGTACTGTGGGAGAGAACAAACCAGATGCCAGCGGAGGAAGAAATCAGGAAGAAGCGCTGGAAGTGGATAGGACACACATTGAGGAAAGCACCCAACTGCGTCACAAGACAAGCCCTCACATGGAATCTTCAAGGCCAAAGGAAAAGAAGAAGACCAAAGAACACATTACGCCGAGAAATGGAAATAGACATGAAAAAGATGAACAAGAATTGGATGGAATTAGAAAAGGAGGCCCAGGACAGAGCGGGTTGGAGAATGCTGATCGCCGGCCTATGATCCATTGGGAGTAACAGGCGTAAAAAAAACATGTGAATTCCAAACTTGTCTGTTTTAATTCTTAGCTAGCTATATTACATTTGATTTAATTCTTCTGTATATAATAGATACGTCGTACGTAGTTAGTAAAAAAATTATAGTTTAATTCATTGTAAATCCAAACATTTATTAATATGCGTTCATTTTAATGGCATTGAACTCTCTTTTTTGATAAAAATTGTATTCTATAGATTAGTCATTTTATGAAGGTTTTTTTGGGGGGGCATACTTTGCATAATTCAAATAAAAAAATTTGTTTTACACCCAAATTCTTAAGGTTTAACTGATAAATTACGTTATCTGTGTACAATTCGTCAATTTAGGCCATGAACTATCAATAATTTTCTTAACTTTTATACAAATAATGCATTTTTAGTCAGCATAGACATTGTTAGTAAATTCTATTTGATTCGTTTTCTTCTAAAACAATTCTCTAAATGTTCCTTATCTTCGACTTTTTTTTCTTTAAGCTATCAACGTGAATGGCGATTCCATAAAAAAGAACAAATATGGCTTACTCGTATAGTGGGTGCCAATTTCACGTCAGATAACAACTCTGAACAAGGTGATTACTATTTTTGGGATCCTGTTAAAGCGCAAAAGTCTACCCATCAAATGACTATCTTATATTCTGATCTTGATAATGCACCAGCAGCATTTCGTCTTAGTTCAGGCACATTAAGTGCCTTTGTGAGTATCGGTTTACCTGGTGGTTCGCATAGTAGTGTTCCACCACCACCTCCACCTCCTCCACCATTACCACAAAATCAACAACAACAGTTAGTTAGTTACCAACATCAATCACGTCAGGCGCAACAAGGTCAGCAAACATTTTCGCATACACATCATCAAACACTTATGAATAATCATAATCCTAATACATCAGGACCATTTATTCCGTTTACTGCCAATCCCCTGACTACTGGACCATCAGTCAATTCATCAAATGCTGCAACGTTAGCTAGTCTGTTCAACACTCGTCAACAGCAACCAATTAAGCAACCACAACAACTGAATTCAAATCCAAATTATTTTTCATCTCATAATCGAACTACTGGTCCTGTAAATTCATTGTTCACTAATCGATCAGCTCCAGTATCAGTTCCTGTGACTAATACAGTGATTCCTTCTACAGAAACTACATCGACTACTAATTCAAACTTTAATCGGCTGTCCAATCCATCACTTGTTAATGATAATCCCAGTCAAGTAGTTTTTGATGGTTCACAAATTTAGATCTTTATTGATTCTATGAGCAATGTGTATAATGTACACGTAGAGGAGTCCCATTTGTGTTATGAGGCGTAAATGCAATCTTTTTTCAAGTTCACATGGTCAACTTTCTTATGAGAACATCCAATCTATGTTAATTGTGAAATTGATCATTGTAATTCCTTTTTGGATTTTTTTTTCAACGTTATTTCTAGGTTACTTTTCCCAGAAGGGAGGTGTATATCACACTGAATATACATGCATATATATATATATATTTCAGTCTGTGCTTAATCTTTTTGATTTTATAATGTTCTGGTGTTCTGATACTGATTCACGTGTTGTTTTCACTTATATATATATATTGTTTCCCTCCTGTTTTTTAAATCCATTTTCTTTTCTTAACGATATGGTATGAAAAGATTCTCTAACAACTGCTTGTGTGCATGAGAGTGTGAGGGTCAATTTATGCATCTGTCTAATTCTGTCGATATTTCCCCTGGTCTTGTCTCTTATTTCATTTTTTAATCTCTTGGTCACAGCTCCAGTTTATCACATGTTCTAAAATTTGTTTATCTTTTCTTTCTGTAAACTTGCAAACAAACAAGAAAGTAAATTAAAACGCTAAGCTGTGTGTATGTATACAAAAGCCAACGAGACCTGTTGTTTTATCTTAAAGCATAATTCTCTTTTCTTTTCTATATTTATATATATATGAATCGAAATCGATGCATCTGTATTATTAGTCTTTACTTACATTTCATTTCACCACTGTTATTCTTCTAATCAAGATGATATTTTGTTATTCTTTTCCTAAAAATATTCCTCAATGCGTGTAGAACAGGGGCAGCTTGTCAGTTGAAAACAATGTAAGTGAATTATGTTCTGTGAACACGTGTACTATAGTGTGTAACCACTTATCTTTACCTTCTTTCTATTCTGCTTATCTTTCACACCATTATTCCATTTATGTCCATTGTTCTTTCTTCGTGAATATTATTCTGCCTTCTTAGAAAAACTTGTCGTTTATTTTGTTAACTTTTTATTAAATAAATTAGTAAAGGATACTTTTTAATTGCGATTATTACTGTCCCTTCACTTGTTTCAACTGATCTCTTTTGATTGGTTAATAGTTAATGTGTATATCAATGTAGATAGGGTAGGTTTTCAGAATGTATGAGTAGTAGTAGTAGTTATACTTAGTGTGTGTGTGTACGTGTGTTTGAGTAGAATGGATTTTCCTGATCATTCCAACTTGAATATCTCTTGTATTTTTACAGGTCACTTTATTTCTTCTCTAACTCCCATTTTCCTCTGTTTTGTACAACTTCACTCACTTATTTTAAAAATCTTAGTTTCAACATTTTTCTTCGTTGAAGACACAGTTCTTGAAAGATTAAATAGACATGGATATTACTTCCTTTTGTATTCTGCACCATTTTATTCTGTTTCACGCTTATACATACATATTTAATATCTATCTATTGTCTTTATTACTTCGCTTATACTTGGACTCGTGTATTTGTATAAAAATCTGGTCATAGAGAGAGAAAGTGAAAAGTAATATTAGTTAGTCGGCTAAATTAATTATAACTTAAGTAGTGTTAGCATAAATATTGTGCTGTATATCATATCCCATTTTTCGTGTGATCTTCCTCTTAGGATATATATAATAACTTAGAGTTTTCGCCTCTTTTCTTACTGTGTCTAATTTTTATTGTACTTTGTCTGTCTGTGTATGTGTATATTCTGATCAGATAGAGGTAACATATTCCTTAAAAATATAAATATATAAATTTTATATTATAAATATGCATCATATTAATTTTATTACCTTCGTCAAGTATAATACGGAAAAATTGATTTATAAGTATTTATTGTTGATTTGATAGTTTTCTTCTATGGATTAAGAGTCTATATATTTGCAATACTTTCAAAATTACGAGTGCTCATGGCATATTTTTCTACTATGGTTAGAATTAAACAGCTTTTACAGTATAAACAGTTGGACATATTTTGTATTGTTTGTTTGAATCTTCCCATTGATGTTTAGTACTACAACTGATCAATCTCTTATTTTCATATGTGTATTCTGTGCGGATGGCCTCGATATTGCCTCAGTTCACAAGCATTATAAGCGAACGGTTCTGGGTTCGAGTCTCGAAGTGAATACCAATACCTGCTGACGAGTCCCAAATAGGGTGAAACGCGGTGCTAGATTCCACTGCTAGTCGCCAACCATCTTTGCTGAAAATAGTTGAACTGTTTGAATGATTTTAAATTAATGTTATTCTCAGAAAAATATATCGAATTACCATATAACTGAAAAGATTTATTTTAGGCGATGATTTCTTGCGTATGCACTGTTTAAAATTAGTATATGAAAAAAGCTTAGGATTTATTATGAATCGATGATAATATGCAGTGATGCGATGTAACCGATTGATTGATGTAACCTCAGGATAATTCGAAGTAAAAAACAAGACCACTGAATAGAACAATATGTATGTTTTTTATGTAATGAACCGGTATACTTATGTATAAGATATTAACATAAAATAAACGTCATAGGTGATTAACGGAAATTAGTTTGGTTGTTTACTCTCCAGTCAATTAGGACTTTACTTTCGGTTTTCGACTACAGTCCGTTATATAAAAATTAATGTAAATTCATGTTTATTTATTTTATGGAAATATGGCAACCTCAAATGCTAGTTTTTGGATTACGGATGCGTCGCCACGATAAACTGAAAAGTAAATTTAAATAGATTTTAGTTGTTATTACTTGTTAAGTGGAATCTTCCTCTTCTTTCTATTTGTATTCTACTTCAATATCCTGAATATTGACCATTAGTCCCATAGAACTTAAACATGAGAAGTCGATATAATCCAATAAGGCTCACTCATAATCTTAAAGAAAGTTAGAGGTGACAGTCAAAACGTGGCATCATTCTATGAGGCCACCGATCCATACGTATAGGTAGGCGCAGACTATCTGGTTGGAACCCACGTAGTTATCAAGGTTTAGAGACGATGAACGATACCATTCAGAATCGGTTGCAATCGCACCGATTAGTTCATTCTGCCTTAAGATATTCATACCTTTTTTCAGCAAATCCATTCTCTTTTCTTTCATGTCTAATATTTTTTTAAATTACAACTAATACTGTTATAACTACTTATTTGAGATTTGTCTCATGTGACTGCGCTAATATGGTGTGGCACTTTGATCTGATACACATACATAATTCCTAAGTTTTTTGTTGTTTATGATTAACTGACTGATTGACTTATAACAATATATGTTTCATACATTATTTGGATCTTATTCACAGATGTTATTATTTTCCTACACTTTCTAAATAATCATTTCACTTACCTAATTGTGAACAGGTTGTACACTGTATGTCCTAGTTGATAAATTCCTACATGTATCTTTATGATCATATACATGGTTTTCACGTAGAGATTATTAGTTAATAATATTTCCTCAATCTATGTCAGATTACCAATAGTTTCATGAAATTTGAACGTATTTTGTCAGTATGAATTATCTAATGATTTGTAATCTCAAAACAATTTTGATTAACAAGCAAACAAACTCCGATAAGCTTATCTTGTTTAGTCAACAAAAAACTCTAACCATTGGTGTCTGTTTTTCAGACACGTTTTGATGTTCACAGCTTTTATATAGTTATATGGGTTAGTACTAGTAGTAGTATCATTGGAAGAACATTTTTCTAAACTAGATTTCATCCATTATATGTTTTATTATCAGAAGGGGATTTTATGGAGATTTTAGTAATTTCAATTGTTGAGACCCTATCACCACCACGTTTCCATGGTGGTCTAGTTTCAATTGACTCAACAATTGAAATATGTTTTATTATTAATATTATTATTTTGTATAATAAATCAAGCAGCTGGTTTAATGCATAGAAACCCAATTTCTGAACTATGAACTTTATAATTCAGCTTGCGTAATAACGTTTATTTATAAAGCTTACTTATAATTATTGTAGTTCAGCTGATTAGTTTTGTTCATTGTGATTTAATTAATGTGTGTGAAGCGATGACCTAGTTCTAAAAGAATTCATCTTCTAACCACTAGTTTTGGTTCATCATCGGTTCAGACAGCGGGATAGTATCATAAACCACCATACATATGAAAATGTGTGACTCAAGTCCAAGTACAGGAATCTGTAATTGACGAGTTGTATCTTGAAGACGATATATTAAACAAATGTTCTTCAAGAAATAATCATAAAAAATATTGTACTGATCAACAGAAGTCCTTGGATTTCCAAAAAAAAACTATATACTAAGTCCTCCAGAGAATAGAATAATGTTCAAATAAAAAGCCTGGTTATAGTATACTACTATACTGACAAACTCAAGCTAATTAACAGCCAAACCAAAGAGTATTTAACTGTAAAGGAATTAGCAACAAAACATTAAAATCACGGTGGGTAAATGGCTCTGATGGAATGATAAACCCTTACATGTTGCTTTATTTAAAATAGCAAACAGAAAATCTAAGTATCAAGAGTTCGGCTAAAGTTATAAATAATGCTTAGGGTTTTCATCAAAACTTGACATCAGATATAGTGGTATGATGCTTTGGTACACTTTGGCTTATAGATTTATAAAAGCTAAGCTTAAGATTTAGAGCTAGGAATTAGAATTAGAGAAGGCACAAAAAACCCTTGACTATGGATTGAATCCCATTAAGTACTTATATTAGATAATCTACCTTAATGGTATGTATTTCTCGTAATTTAGCTTAAGCACCAAGTCACATTCACTATGTAGTTTGGTAGAAGGCACTTTATAAATTATCTTTCATAAGTATTTTAGGAACGAGATATTGACAATTCTTACATAGTTTATAATATACATACTGTCCTTCACTGCACACTAAATCTTGTGGAAAAATCAGAAAGGTAGTTTCTTATATCTAATTGGCTCATTCTAGGCCGTCAGTATAGTATACTTTTAACAAAAGCCTTATTAAAAAGAAAATTGATTATTACTACTGAGTAGATAATGCAGAAAGTATTTGGAACAATTTGCTTCATTGCTAGTCATTTCCATTAAAATAGGATTAGTAAGTTTTGATAGTCAGTTGTTCGGTTCAAAAGTATCATTCCCATAGAACAGTGTCCCATTTCTTGTCTAAAAACTCGCATACAAAGAATACTAGATTCTGCGCCACAGATACTTTTATGTGAGGGCTAGTGATAAGGAATGCTGTAACCGAACATCTCATTGTTGAATGTTGAGTACTATAACTAGCGTATACTTTTCGATTCATTCATAAATATTGTATTGTTTTTCGTTAATTTTGAAAGTTCATTACTTAACAATTTAATCGATGAAAGTATTGCTCTGGTACGGCCGAGGATGGGGAAAGTCCGCTCTCCCTCTCAAATGGCCACGCGTATACAGCGACTGCCAGGGAAGTCCTACTCACTGACTTCTCCTACCAGGGGTGTTGTTTACGAAATTGAGAGAACGAAAAGCGAACGTCCGGTGCTTAATCGGGTTGGTGGACATGGAGGATCCACCTAGGGAAGTTGGAAAACCCTCACTCCAAACCAATGGTGCACATCGGCTTCAGGATCTTGAGGGAACAAGTCGCATATGATACAATCGTTGGTCACCGGCTACCATGGGACTGCATCTCCTTACGTTGCTCTACTGCCTTGTGAATTAGACCTTTATGTAGAATGCTCCGGGTGTGCCCCCCTTCAGTCTGGGCATCCAGGCAGTATCAGCCCACACACAGATCAAGTGACTTGTGTGGTACATATTTATTGGGTGCTTTTTTGTACCAATATTTATGTGTTCAAATAATAATCAATAATTGTTCTACAAACTTTCTCCTTATTTCTTAAAGATATAAAGACTTTTATATAAGTGGTTAGCAATACCAATATGCTTTTCAATGTTTATTTAATAGTACGCATCAATTAGATCATAGAAAAACACACTAGTAACAAACTTTTATTTTAAAATATTCATAAATTTTCTAACTTCATTAAAAGATTTTCTGTTATTTTCATTGTCACTATTTTTCATTTTTATAATTTTTAGTGTTAACTCATGTACTGGTTACAATTCAATGGATAGTTTGTTAATATTCGAATATCATGTGAACAATGCTAATTTTTTTTTCTTTTTGAGCGAGAGAGAGAGAGAGGGAGAGAAAGAGATGAAGAGGGGGTTCGCTCATAAAATAATTTAAATTCATTTCCTATTACCTTACGTATTATCATATAGTAGTCTTCATATAATTTACACTTGTTTAATTGAATATAATCAAAACAATATGAAATGATCAGTTTAGGGGTTGTGGAGATTGTTAATTTCTTTTTTATTTATTGAGATCATGAACCGATTGATGTTAGAGACCATCATTGAAAACCTGGAAGCACTGGACGGCTGAGGTTAAACATTAACACCATTGGATCCCGGCTCAGAAGTCCACGGGGTTAAGCGTTCGCGCGCAAGACTCAAGGCCCTTGGTTCGAATCCCGTGAGCTGGATCGCAGATGCGCACTGCTGAGGAGCTCCACGACAGGACGAAACGGCCGTCCAGTGCTTCCATGTTTTCAATGGTGGTCTAACATCAATCAGTTCATGATCTCGATCAAAAAAATATCAAATGACTTGAAATTCATTGATACAAGGATAAATTAAAATGAAAGTTTGTATAAAGATTTCAACAATATTAATTATTATCCATTTTATAGTATATTTTGTTACCTGTCTGTATTATTCGATAATTCACTCAAGGTCATTCAGAA